TAGAGACGGGGTTTCACCATGTTGGCCAGGATGGTCTCGATCTCTTGACCTCGTGATCCACCCGCCTCGGCCTCCCAAAGTGCTGGGATTACAGGCTTGAGCCACCGCGCCCGGCTTATAATACATATATTTTCTTAATGTCACACAAGTTACCCACTGGTGGATAAATTCACAGCTATTTACCTTGATACAGGTATACGCTACAAGAGAAACCAGTGTAGGGTTAATGGCAATATAAAATAAATTAGCTACTTTATTAATTCAAATTCTGTCAAGCTTACATAATCTTGTTTAAATTTATCAGTACTCTAAAACGATTTTTTCAAAAAAAAATACTTAAACTAGCTCCACTGGAGGAAATATTTCTCTCGTCACAAGTGTGTCAACAAGAAAAATTAAGAGCGTGAAAAATAATAGACTTTTGGTCAGAATAAATCTTAAATTATTTTTAATATAACCGGTCTTCAAGTTCTTCAGATTGTGAAGAAAAACATAGTTTTACAAAACAATCATGTAACTCTTACCCAAACTTTGCTCTAAATGGTTTCAATGGCATCAAATTAACATAGAAAGTATGCTAGCTGAGTACTTGGGAAATAAAGCAGATTGATCAGGAGTTCTAAGATAAAGACAATGGTGTAAACTTCACAGTGCGGTATTTGTTCCAGTCATTAAACATACAGGAAATAAGATTTTCTATTTAGAAAACTAATTCACAAGGAGCAATGACTTCATTAAGACAAAGAAAATCTTATTAGAACAGCCAACAATCAATTGTAAAATAAGAAAACAAGTATCGAAGAATTGGAAGGTGGAACAGACTAGGAAAACGCATAAACTGCCTGGATTATGTGTTCCTTGAACCTCTTCTTGCACTGCCCCCAAAGACAGCGAAAGAGTTTCATTAGTTATACGCCCAGACCACGGTAGATGCTCTGCTCCGGGGCATAGCCAAAGGCAGTAAACACTGTAAGCAACAAGACCGCTTTCATTATGACAACACTTTCCCCTTTCCAGGAGGGTCAATAGAAAGCATCTGAAACAAACCACAAACCGCTCAGGACGGCCCCAAAGCTCTGCGGTTGGCAGCTGGCCTCGGCGTCGAAAGACCTGGGTCTGGTGGCCTCTCCGGTGCCACCTGCGTGACCTTGGGCAAGTCGCTTTCAACCCTGCCTCTGGCCACCTGCCCCGAAGGTGCGAAGGTAAATCGCTGACACCGCCCGACTTCAGGGCCCAAGGCGAGGCCGGCTTCGGCCTCAGCTAGTCCTGAAGCCAAAACGCACCAGGAAAGGATGCCCGGCGCCGCACGCCCGGCGGGCACAGCCCTGGAGAGAGCCGTTCCGACCGGCACCGCCGGGAATCCCCGGGCAGCTGCGCGCACCGCGCCCCTAGCGGGACTTCTCGGGGGGCGGAGACGCCGAGGAGCTCGATGGCCCCGCGGCCGCCGCCGGCCTCCCGCCCTCCCCGCCGAGGGCTGAGGTCGGGAAAACAATCGCGGACCCGCGGGAAGAAGACGCCGGCCCCTCCCGCCGCCCCGATCCCGGGCAGGTGAGCGGGCCAGGCGGCCTCCAGGTGCAGCGGCGCGCGGGGCGGAGGTGCGCGGAGGGGGCGCTGGCCCTGCACTCACCCGCGCCCCCGGCCCCTAAGCGGACGCCGCGCTTCGGAAGCCCCGCAGCCACTGCCGCCTCGCGCCCGGCCCCGGCCCCCACCCCCGCCCCAGCGCGGCCGCGTCGCTCACGCCAAACTTTACCGGGTCCTCGGCCCGGAGCACCCGCGCCGCCGCGGCCCCGGCTCCTACAGACGCTCGGCTGCCCGGAGCGGCGTCCACGACGGTCCGCCCGCGCACTGCGCACGCGTCTCCGCGCCGCCTCAGCCCCCAGACGGCGGCTGAGATTCCGGAGCCAGCGCTCCCAGATCGCAGAGACTACGAGTCCCGGCAGGCCCCGCGCGGGTCCGGGCGGCGTGGCGGGCCGGGTGTTGGGCGTCTTCCTAGTTCCAGGGGCGGAGGCCTTGGCGCGCCGGAGAGGGCTGCGCGAGGAGCTCTGGGCCGCCACGCCGCGGTGCTTCCTGGGAATCGTAGTTTTCGAGCACCACGGGGCTTGGCTCAGAGATGGAACTCCGGGTTCTCTGATGTCATCGCCTAGAACTGCGAGGCACAGGGATCTTTAAAAATAGGCTTCGTTAGTTTGCAGATAATTTGTTTGCAAGCTGTCCCATAATCGGTCCAAGTGGCACAAATTCACAGGCTGCGGTGTGACCTGGAGAAAAATGCTTTATAGCTCTGCGCGCCAATTTTTCGCTCTTAACCATTTCTCCCTCCCTGCAAATGTAGCTCCACCTCCTACTTACAGTCGTGTTAATAGTACATGAGGACAGGAGAACTTAAAGAAGGATTAGTCGAAATTCTTTTAGCAAGGGTGGAGCATAAATATGTATCGTGGTAAATATTCGTTAAATATTGAGTATTTCTCTAGCACTTACTGTGTTCCAACTACGTGATAAGCAACCAGGCATTCATCTGAGAGAGAGGCACTGTCGCTGCCCTCATGGAGCCTGCAGCCTGCAAGGGAGGAACTTCCGCAAACAAGCAAAAGCGTTACCGATTTTAATAGAATAGCCAGAATGAGAAAGTTCAAGAGACAGTAGCGGTGGGGGTGGGGGAGGCTCTTCAGAGAGGGTGACAAGGAAAGTTCTCTGAGGATGTGATATTTGAGCTGAAACCTGAAGAATGAGTAATATTCAGACATGCAAAGAACTGGGAAAGAATTATATGCCACGCCTTTCACAGTGCATGCCACTCTAGGCTCTTAACAAATATTTGTTCTTTTTGTGTGCTTCTTCCTTTCCTCTTAGGAACAGCACAACAGGTTGACAGCACAACCTTAGGTTGACAGCACAACCTTAGGTCACATCCTATCCCCTTCAACACCTTTAAAAAATATTTAGTAACGTCTCTCAGAATATCCTTCCTATGTGAAGATGTACATGAAACAAAACATGAAACAAATGTCCAGTGGTAAGACAAGCTGTACAGCTGCTAGGACAGACGACACAAGCCTGGTGACAGGCTGGAATCTGACTACTTAGTCATTTCTTTATTTGAGAACTGGGTTAGAAGCCTGGGCGCTCAGCCTGGCCTCCTGACTTGTTTTCTGTTCATGGGGCATCATGTAGGATTTTGAGTCTGACTCTATTAAAATCTTACAGGGAGCGTCGGGCGCGGTGGCTCAAGCCTGTAATCCCAGCACTTTGGGAGGCCAAGGCGGGTGCATCACGAGGTCAAGAGATCGAGACCATCCTGGTCAACATGGTGAAACCCCGTCTCTACTAAAAACACAAAACATTAGCTGAGCATGGTGGCGCGTGCCTGTAATCCCAGCTACTTGGGAGGTTGAGGCAGGAGAATTGCCTGAACCCAGGAGGTGGAGGTTGCGGTGAGCCGATATCGCGCCATTGCACTCCAGCCTGGGTAATAAGAGTGAAACTCCGTCTCAAAAAAAAAAAAAAAAATCTTACAGGGAGCTTACCTATTGTCTGAATCAGAGGTGCAGTGAAGAACGGTGTTAGATCTTCCTGTATAGACTTACCTATGTGACTATGCAGAGAGTGACACTTTGCCATTCTGACCCTCAGTGACCTCAACTGTAAATGAGTGTCATCCACCCTGCCTGCCCTACAGAATGTTCTCAGAGGCTGATAAATTGATGGAGGTGAAGACATCTTGCAAACTCAATAGAACGCTTTAGGACTGCCTCTTTCAGACTGAGCATTTTCAGTTTCATTTCATACAACGTGATTGTTCGATTATCTTTTGAGAAACCTCAGCTATGCAGCCTTTCTGACACCTCTCTTTTGGGGGCCTCATCTGTGTAATGGTTGAAAGGATTTGGCCTCACTATAGTTTATAAAGTAGCCAGAGCAGATTGTTTCCTTTGGTCCACATAGTGGGTTTTTGTTGATTTAACTGATTCAGTGTGTAGTTAACTTTTAAAAATAAAAATCCAGGTGTCACCTATCTTATCCCTCTAGGTATTAGAGTTTGCCCTCCCTGGCTAGCAGGTCTGGAAGGAGTCTCTAGCTTTTCAGCACTAGAATCCTAAGTGCTGGGATTACAGGTGAGAGCCTCTCACCCTCTGCAGGCTGGACCCACAGGGGATCTCTCTCCTAAATGTTGTTTGACACCATTGATGAGTGGCTTAAAATTGTTCCTTTGGCCAATGTGGTGGCTCTCACCTGTAATCCCAGCACTTAGGGAGGCCAAGATGGGTCAGGAGTTTGAGAACAGCCTGGCCAACAGGATGAAACCCCCTCTCTACTAAAGAAATACAAAAATTAGCCAGGCGTGATGGTGGGCACCTGTAGCCCCAGCTACTAAGGAGGCTGAGTCAGGAGAATTAATTGAACCCACACAATGGAAGTTGCAGTGAGCCCAGATTGTGCCACTGTGCTCCAGCCTAGGGGACAGAATGGGACTCAAGAAAAAAAAAAATTGTTCCTTTGTTCTTTTTGCATAACAAGCCCCCAGAATTGTTTGTCACTGAGAGCCATATTTACATACAATGAAGAAAGCCAGAAAAGTAACTCAGTTTGCCCAAGGACACACAAGATAATATTAGGACTGCTTTGAGGTTGCAAAATAACCAGAACTTGATAGCTCCTGATCAGCCAATAAATACAGAGACAAAAAAAAAAAAAAGCCCTCTGCTTTCCAGCCCTTTTTTTGGATGCAGAGGTTTATTACATAACTGTGCTTTCAGTGTTATTTAAAAAAAAAAAAAAAAGTGCGTGGGGAAACTAGTCTGGGAGCAAACCAAGAACACTCAGGACCCACTGAAGGCACTGAGGAATGCTGGAATATTCCATGGCTACTTTTCATCTGAAGAAAAAGGAATCTGAATTCAAGGATCTGCAGTTTAGCAGTTTACCTTTTTTTTTTTTTTTTTGAAGAGTCTTGATTTGTTGCCCAGGCTGGAGTGCAGTGGCACAATCCCAGCTCACTGCAACCTCTGCCTCCTGAATTCAAGTGATTCTCCTGCCGTAGCCTCCCAAGTAGCTGGGTTTACAGGTGCCTGCCACTATGCCAGACTAATTTTTACATTTTTAGTAGAGTCAGGGTTTCACCAGGTTGGCCAGGCTGGTCTCAAATTCCTGACCTCAAGTGATCCACCTGCCTCGGCCTCCCAAAGTTCTGGGATTACAGGTGTGAGCCACTGTGCCCGGCCTGCATTTTACCTTTAAAGTATCACTGTCATCATTATCATCATGCTTTCACGTGTGAAATATTTTGATGTTTCACTCAAAAATAGGTCTTGAGCCCCTTCTATTTGTTTAGTGCTGGGCTCTGGAGACTCCAGACAGATATCAGCCCCTTAGACAACACAAAGAGCAGTGTACAGAGGCACACAGAAGGTTCCTGAACGCTGGTCATTTCTTTAATATTTGATGCCTGCAGCATTTTCTGCATTAATTTTCCCCCCAGCAATGGTCGCTTTCCTACATATTCTGTATGTGCATTCTAGCTTTTCAACAGTAGAATCCTAGAAGATTCCAGATGGGAAATTTGAGACATGCTTGAACTTAAAAGATATTCCTTGTTTATTTGAAATTCAAAGTCAAATTCACATCTTTTATTTGATCTGAAAATGCTCGTCCTGAGAATAGAACACTGAGGCCAAGAGCCTCTCACCCTCTCCAGGCTGGACCCACAGGGGATCTCTTTCCTGAATGTTGTTTGACATCGTTGATGAGTGGCTTAAAATTGTTCCTTTGGCCAGTGTGGTGGCTCTCACCTGTAATCCCAGCACTTTGGGAGGCCAAGGTGGGTGGATCACTTGAGGTCAGGAGTTTGAGACCATCCTGGCCAACATGGTAAAACCCCTTCTCTACTAAAAAAAGATGCAAAAATTAGCCAGGCATGATGGTGGGCACCTGTAGTCCCAGCTACTCAGGAGGCTGAGGCAGGAGAATCAATTGAAACCACACGATGGAGGTTCCATGTATACATATATGGGATTACACACACACCCACACACATACACACACACATATATATATTTTTATATATATATATATATGTAACGATGGATGTTACATATATATGGGATTATATCTCTATATGTAATCCCATATATATAAATAATAATCCCATATATATTAAACTATATATATATATATATAGTTTGCACATCCCCTAAACTGTAACCTCCACATGGACAGGGATTTTATGTTTTTTTCCTGCTGCATCCTTAGTGCCTAGAACAGAAGTATGTGTAGAATGATGAATGACACATTCATCATCCCCCTTGATGGACAGAGCCAGCATCAGAAGCCAAGCAGAAGAAGTACCTCCAGAAGCAAACCTCTGTTCTACCCAGAAATCAGAACCAAGATAGAACAAAAATTAAACATGAACCAAACACTCTGAACCCCGCTTTGTTCTTCTTGTGTCCCCTCCAAAAACTGGGTAGCAGAGAGTTAAAAACGGCCCTTTCCTATTTTTCAGTGTAAAAATGGCACAAGAACTCCAGGCAGGGAGTCAGTGGGGTTGCCTCTGTGGGTAAAGAGTCAGAGCTGGCTCTCTGACCCTGCTACACAACTGGCAATGACCAAGTGAGGGGAAGTGTGATTCTCAGTCATCACCCCGATCAGGCAGAGATTAAGTGACCTGCTCACATTACCAATCAGGTGACTGGAGTCTCCTTCTGGAGATAATTCTTGCATCCCAGGGCCGGGGCACAATCCTCCTTTCAGGAAAGACTGTCCACATTTTATGCTTACCGAGGTGCAAGAGTAGGAGTTCTGAATAAGTCAGCAACCAGCCCAAATTCCAGGCCCTCAAAGGGAAAAACAACAACTGAGCATCCGAGGAGATGCTTGCCTCCAAGACTTGTAGAGGAGCA